CAGTAGGCAGCCCGCGAGCGTTGCTGGGACGCCTGCTCCTCCTGCCTCCTGCCTCCTGCCGCTGCCGGAGGAGCCGCCACGCCCCAAGTCCAATGCTAACTGCATTCGGACGCAGAGCAGCCCCCTGCGGGTCTGGAGGCCCGGCCCCCCATCCCGTGGGCCGCGGTGGGTGCGGGCGGAGGGTGCGCCTAGTCAGGAGCAGGGGCTGGTGGCCGTGCCCAGCACCCGGCCAGCCTGCGCCCCGTCCCCAGGAGCAGCGCCCTCCCACCGCCCTGGACCGCCTCTTCAAGATCGTGTTTGTGGGCAACTCCGCAGTGGGGAAGACGTCCTTCCTGAGGAGGTTCTGCGAGGACCGCTTCTCCCCAGGCCCGGCAGCCACTGTGGGTGAGTCTCGCCCCTAAGGTGGTCCTGCACCCACCTCTGGGAAGGAAAGCTTGCAAGAAGGGGCCCAGGGAGGGACTAGGAGCCCGTGGACGGGCTGTGGGGACTGGCACGGGGGACAGTGCTTCGTTCGACAGGGAGGCTGGGAGGGGCAAGGTGAAGCCCACCTCCCCTCACGGCGCCAGGTGCTGAGGGCATTCTTTGTGTGATGGGACCCCTGAAGGCTTCAGAAACCCAGCACTGGCTTTATGGAACTAAAGCTAGCAAAGATGGATTTGGAGCCCCTCTGTCCCTTCTGAGAACTCCCACCTCCCTTTTACCACTCCCCTCCTTCAGCAGGGCCCCAAATCTTCAAGAGAGCCTCAGGACTGGCCAGGCTCCTCCTGGGGCCCACACCCTGCCACCACATCCCCTGCCTCCCCAGCAGGCCAATACTTCCTGGCCTCACCCCTCCCCTATGTGTGTGTGTGAGTGTGCGTGTATGCATGCATGTGCATGTGGTTGCGTGTGTGCGTGTGAGTGTGCATTGCGTGTGTGCCTGCATGTGTGCATGTGTGTATGCGTGTGAGTGTGCGTGTATGCATGCATGTGCATGTGGTTGCGTGTGTGCATGTGTATGCATGTGTGCATGTGAGTGTGCATTGTGTATGTGCATGCATGTGTGCATGTGAGTGTGCATTGTGTGTGTGCATGCATGTGTGCATGTGTGTGTATGCATGTAGGCAGAGAAGGATGGGGATAGTGCTCTGGATAGCTTCTTTTACCCATTATATTTTACCTGTCCTACGTGCTAGGCCTGCTGGGTGACAGCTGGAGTTAATTGTGGAAGCTCATTAGGCTCAGCTATTAATGGATGGTCTTGGCTTAATGTGTTCCCACTCTTGGATAATATTTTATTTAAATAGAGGGCTTTAATCCCTTCACCCAAAGTCGCACATTGTATCGGAATACGTGACACGACTCAAGGACATATTGGCCTTTTGGCTTCTACGCAGTTGAATCACTCAACAAAAAAATAAATACATTGAGTGCCTGCAATGCACTATCTAACCGAGCTGGCAAATCAACTATGCTTGAAAATATATTTATAGGATCTGAATATCTACCAAGGGCTTTTGTCTTCATCATTTCAATCTATCGGGGAGACAGGTGTTGCTATTAGCCCAATAGACAGGTCAGGAAACTGAGGCCCAGACTGGTTGAGAGGCTTGTGCACATTCCCATCAGCTGGTTAGTGCAGATAGCTGCCTTCCCCCACTCCCCACTCCTGACACACACACCTTCTATCCCATTCCACAGTAGCCCTAATGACATTGAGTTGTACATGCTCAGCAGCCTATGAGTGCTGAGGACACTTTTCTCTCTCAGGAGGTGGACAGAGGTTGGTGCAGGCAGGAGAGGCTGCAGTGAGACATCAGAAGTCCTGGGTCCTTGTCCTGGCCCTGCCACTGCCCAGCTGCGTGACCTCAAGAGGACATGATCCCTCTTTGGGCTTCAGTTTTCCCTCATCTGAAAACGAGGGGTTTGAACCAGGCCCCCCAAGACTGCTTCCAAGCCTGGGTCTCTGACCAGACCCTCTTGAACTCTGGCTGTCTGACAAGCCACTTCCACAGGACAAGCTTCCCGTGCCCAGAGTCCTGCCTGGGGAGACTCCGCTTTCTCTCTCTATCCTAAACTGAGCCTTTCAGCATTTCTCCTGCAGTTGGGCCTCTCCCCACATGCTTCAGGTGTCCCATGCTAATGGCTGGGCCTTTTCCTACACTGTTATCACACCCGGGGCATGCTCCTGTCCTCTCCCTTCTGCCCCACTCCACTCAAAGACTGGGAGCATCCCAAGACAAAGAATCAGGACCCCGATAGGAAGAAGGATGGAGCCTGTGAACCAGGCCAGAAGGGTCTGACCTCGTCTGGCCATAGAGGAACAGCTGGGAGCCGCCAAGTGCACAAAGCATGGTGGCACAGGAAGCAGGGGCTGTGGGGAGGCAGAGGCTTTGGGGAGGGCCTTCCATGGGGCAGACCCCAGAAGTCACAGCTCCAGCACAGGCCTTTGGGAGGCAAGGAGATGGATGCCAAGACCTCAGGCCCTCAAAGGTATGTCGCCTGAGCAGTGTGCCTGTGTCCCTCTCCTGCCTGAAATCAGGGTCTGTTTACATTTCCAACTTGTGCCCCTGAGATGGAAGCCAGCTCCAGCACAGGCCTTTGGGAGGCAAGGAGATGGATGCCAAGACCTCAGGCCCTCAAAGGTATGTCGCCTGAGCAGTGTGCCTGTGTGCCTCTCCTGCCTGAAATCAGGGTCTGTTTACATTTCCAACTTGTGCCCCTGAGATGGAAGCCTCTGGAAAACAGAAAATCAGACTAATTTGCACTTCCCAGGAGGCCAATTATGGAAACACCTACAATTTAGGAAGGGGAAAAATCAAAGGTTCCAAATCAGGAATGCCCTTTATCACGCTGCTCAGAACATGCTGGAGCAGCAGCTCAAATTAGTTTCCCTGCCAAGCAACATGCCTTGCTCTGGTACACATGTCACTAAGCAGATGTCACAGCAGCCACCTGAAAGACGCTTCCTTTAAAGAGACATAACAGCCACAGAGTCATGGTCTCCTAAGGCCAAAGCAGTCCAACCTCAGAGCAGCGTTCTGGCCAGTCGCCCGCCAGAGGCTGCAGCCACAGCACTGTCCAGCAACAGGGACTCGACTGTTCTTCACAGCTCACGTCCCTCATCAGAGGGTCTTACTAACGTCCTGGGCTCCACTTGCTCAGAAGAGCATGGTTTGTAATGTGAGTTGCTACAACAACTGCACTGGGAGTTGCTTTAACACAACCGTGGGACTTGGGGCATCCTTAGGACTCAGTCTCCTCCTCTAAGAGCAGGTTTGTGGACCCTGCGAGCTTTCTGGAGACATCAGATGATGATTTTTGTAAAGCACCAGAGCTGAAAGGAACCTTGGAAATGGTCTGTCTACACCCTCTTGTTTTGTAAGTGAAGTCCACAAAATTGGACCGATTGTTAGAGGCCAAACTCCCTAGAAGCTGGGACTCCAAGTCCAGTGCCCTTCCCACCCCTGCACGCTGGCTCACAGCCTCCCTGCCTTAAACCGCAGCCCACAAGCCTAGTGTTTCTTTCAAAAGCAGGTCCTGACGGAGTGCCCCCTGTGCTTTCTTGGCACCGGTCTGGTTTCTCTCCCACTCCACATCTCTACAGAGAAATCCCAGGAGCAGTCCCCCAGGGGTTCCCCACGACAGCCTGCTGGCACTCCTGCCCCACACCCTCCTGCTGTGTGACAGCATGGGCCTGTCCTCTCCAGAAAGGCTAACATCACCCTCCTGGAGCCCAACAGCCCAGCTCTAACCCACATCTTCTCCAGAACACACTTCATGGTGACAGGAGGCTCTTGACTTCAGTCGTCACTCAGGAACACATTAGACTGCAAGTTGAGGGTCACCTCACTGTGATCGTCGAATGCCACAGCTGAACTTAAAGACCACAAATGTCCACTTGGCCCCTTCATACCTGCCATCCACTCAGTTTACAGAATGAAGTGAAGCAATGTCATGAAGGTCGCACTGCTGGTCAGTGGCAGAACCGAGACAGGAACGCAGAGCATGGTCTCCTGGCTTCTGGAATTTTAGAAATGGTAGTGGTCTTAAAATCAGTTTAATCCAGGCCCTCCGGTCCCAGGTTACTGTGTGTTGCCCCTCGTGCTGCGCTCCTGGGTTCTCCTAACACATGTTTCCATGCAATGTCTCTCCACCCCTGGTACCCTGGCTGTGTCCTCCTGTCATATGGCCAGCCCTGTGGGCTTGGTCAGCGCTTCCTCGGCCTGCCTGTCTAAGGCTGCAGAGAGAGGTACAGTGCGTGTGCAGGGAGTCTCACCAAGCTCCCCATGGCACAGAACGCATTTTCCCAGCACTCCTTGGTCCACCTCGCTCTCTGCAAAGCAAAGCTCCCTGTCCTCTGGCAAAGCAGTTAGCAGGAAGGTAGAGCAGGGCTGCTGGAGGGAGCCAAGACCCTGCTACCCCCACAGCACCCACCTGCCCTTCCTGCCGCATGCCTTGCCAGCCAGCAGAAGGCTGTGTCTTCAGGGCTCTGGACCCACTAGCTGGATTCAGATCTGGCCCAGAAGGGGTATTGAACACGGCCGGCTTTCTCCCGATCTTTTACCAGAAAGCAGGCGGCCACTCTGGCCTCCCAGAGCACAGACAGGAGAAGCCCCTCTGCTGATAGCCAAGAAGAAAACTCACCCTTGGGTCCAGCTCCCAGCTGGTTGTAATCTGTTTTGACGGGAGCACTTAGCCCTGCGCTTTCCAGGTGAAAGGAAGTTTCTGTGAGAGGAGCACCAGCATCAGAGCTGGCTTTGCAGCTCGCCACACCTGCTGACCAGCCTGGGCAAGGCACGGCCACTCTGGACTCCCACTTCATCTCTCCATGGCATGTGTGCATGTGCATCTGTGCTCATACGTGTGCAGATGACGGTGCTTACATGGATGTCACAGGGGGACACTGTGAAGACGGAAACACTGGAAAGATAAAGCCTTCTTCCAATGGGAGAAATCACTGTTTCTCTACCTGGACAAATCCACTCCTCTCTGTGACCCTCGTCTGTGAAGCACAGGGGCCTCTAGAGTCCCTGCTGGTCCTGACATTTCAGAAGTGGATGGCCCTCCCACCTCTCCTCCACTCACAAGTTCTTCATGCACTAGCTTTTGCCTGGCGACGGTGGCTGGGATGACCTTTTCCATTTCCTGCCTCTTTGTTTTCTGTTTGGTCTCTTCTGTCTCTGTCTGTTCAAAGTTGCTGTTGCTGTTTTCTGAGCCCTCCAGGGTAAGGACCTCAGAGGCCTTTTTGAAGTCTGGAGGAGATGCCCTAAAGTTATAAGGTCTGGTACCTTAAGCGGGGGAGACTTTTTGAACACCTTTATGCGTTTGTGAACACTCCTACAGGATGCAGGAGAGAGGAATGTCTGTTCCAAAGTGCCTGTATCGAGGCCCTCAGCTCTGGGCTGCTGGGGACACAGAATGCATCTCTTCTCCCTTGCTTCCTCTCTCTGGCGTTGACGATCCAGGGCAGGGTCACACTCCGGGAGTGATGATTGTGAGTGGCCCAGTGACAGGGATTAGGAGCTCTGAACCCAGCTCAAGCATGCATGTCGCCTTTGATTCATTCCCTCCCCTAACCCTTTTCTTGTCTGTCCTTCCTCTACCTGCCAACCCCCTCCCACTCCTCCTGATCCTCCTCCCCTCCTTCCTCCTTCTCTTCCACGTACCGTTGGATTGGCTGATGGAGGTCTTAAAGTGTGACCCATCGCCCCAAGATATTTGAATTTTATTAGGGAAACTTTGAAAGGATTTTAGGCAAAAAGAAAGAAAGAGAGAGAAGAAATTTGGGGACAGTCTTCTTCCTCCACCTTCCCAATGAGGGAGTAAATTCATGAATGACAATTTTCTTTTCATTGGTATATTGCTTTCACCTATGTGAGCTGACTTGAGCCTGCAGTTCAGAGAAGGTTAAGTGGTTTGAGCAAGTTCCCATGGCTAATAAGTGACAGAGACAGGATGAGAACTCAGGTCCCACGCCTCCCCATCTGCAGCTCTGTCCATTTCCCCACATCACCTCCCAGGAGCTGCCCGGGGGGTTGTTGCCCTGGGTGTGATGTGATTCCAGACACATTGGAAGCATCATGTCCTGATTTGGAAGTGAGGATGCCCCTGGTCCAGGGCAGCCCTGACGGCCTGTTCCGCCTCGCAGGCATCGATTACCGTGTGAAGACAGTGAATGTGGACGACTGTCGGGTGGCCCTGCAGCTGTGGGACACAGCTGGGCAGGAGAGGTGAGTACTGTCCCTGCAGGTCTGGGCTCCAGAGGAAGGCCGTGCACCCCTGACCCGTGGCCCTTCTGTGGCAGGTACCGCTGCATCACGCGGCAGTTCTTCAGAAAGGCCGATGGTGTCGTCGTCATGTACGACCTCACAGCCAGGCAGTCGTTCCTGTCGGTCCGGCAGTGGCTGAGCAGTGTGGAGGTGAGCTGGCAGCCTCCCTGGGCATGCCCCTGCTTGCTCTTGCTTCCCCTCCTCTCTGCCAGCTCCCACCAGCCCTCTGCACTTGCAAAACCTGATTCAGAGCTCACCTTCTCCAGGAACAAACCGTAAGTCCCCAGGACCAGGCTTCTTACTGGGGATCCAGAAGTGAACAGACAGTCCCTGCCCTCACGGAGAGAGGGGACTTGAGAAATAGAGATTACGCCAAGAGTTGTGTCATTACAGTTGCTATGTGCTATGAGTGAGTGGGATGGATTGGGGGAGGGGCACAGAGCGGAGTGTCAAGGAAGGTGTAAACTGAGTCACAACTGCGTCTTTCTAGCTCCAGTAGGCCCAGCTGTGTCCTGCCCAGAGCCACACTGTGCAGTGTTTGGGGGCCTCTGTCAGAACCCTTCACACAGGGGAGGTGGATCTGTAATGAGAGGGCTCCTGGCTTAGCCACAGCCAAAGGCCTGGCCAGGGCCCCAAAACACCTGCACTCCCCGTTAAGTCCTGAACAGCCGGTGAGACCGCTTCCTTGATTCAAGCTTGCAATGTGCTGCTTTGTGAGTGACTTTTACTTCCTGCCCATCTACATGCTCTTCCTCTACCACTCAGTGCAGGCTTCTCGAGGCCAAGGGCAGTGTGGATGAGCCACTTATTTCTCTCTAAAGGGCCTCGGCTGATTCTTTCAAAAAACATCCAAGTAGAATGCTCCAGTCCCTTCCACCAGCAGGATCCATCGTTTGTTCATTTATTTTCAAAGCACTGCTAGGCACTGTTCTGAGGCCTGTAAATTAAAGCAGTAAATAAAAGAGATGACGCTCCTGCCCTCCTGGAGCTTACACTCAACCCTCCTCTGCATCCTGTAAAACCCTGCATACTCCACCACTCACTCACCACACTGCCCCGTCACTTGTCACACTGCCGCGAATCACATACATTTACTGGCTGTGTCCCCTGTAGGACTCTGCCTCCCGAGGACAGAAGGGGCATCTTTGTCATTGTAACCTGGGTGCCTGGCATGGGGCCCTACAGAACTAGTGCCCAGCACATCCTGAATGTGTGAATACATACTAAATCTCTGTGAAGGCAGAATATGGGGGGGCTAATTTCTTCATCCCTTTGGCCCTGAGATCCACGACTGCTCCCTCCAAATCTGTTCCTCTTACACTGCTGGTCACACCCCCTTTCTGTACAGTTAATCTGAATCACCAGAAAAATAAGGAGCAGAATAGAAGCCAGATTAAAGTATTTCTCAGAAGCTTACTTAATACAAATTATTTCTCAAAATTACTGTGCCGAAAGCACTTACAAATGGGAATATGTAAGTTTTGAAATATAGCAGATTGTCTGCATGCCAAGCTAATAATGGAAGCAAATGGTATGGATGAATCTGGCAGTAATTCTTATTTAAACTCTGGAATTTATAATGCAATCTTTATTTCTTTCTTGTGTTGGTAGCACCAGCATATTTATCTGTGTCTTCCTCACAGACGTTGAGCACCAGGAGAGACTTTAGGGATTAGCTAACTTGCTGGTTTTCAGACTTTCTTTCTTGGTGCCCTAGAGTCCCACTGACGTTCCCCAGAGTTTGGGGCAGAGCAGGGAAAGGTTTGGTGGTCACCGTCCTAGGTCCCTAATCCACCTATCTCAGCCAGATGCTCCGCTTCTTTCAGTCTGTAAATTAAAGTTCCAGGTACAATTTTGTTGGAGAAAGGGTTTCATCTCATTCTAAAATGAAGAAATTGAGGCCATTGCTTCTGCAAGGTCACCTGTTCTTTTCCCAGCCACAGACATTTCATTGTCCCCCAATATCTAAATTTTGGTGTACACTAAAGCTGGGCAGAAGCAGTCCAAGTGGTCCGGGGTTAATGGAAGTGAGTGGAGACAAATTTATGGAACTATGCTCTCTGCCGTCATTAGGGGGATGTCGTTCCAAGGCTCCTGTTTTGCAGAGAGAGCCTGGGACCTAGAAGGAGAAGAATATCGGGTTAAGTTTGGTGGCGGAGGTGAAGGAATGTCTGCAGTCTGAGGTATGAGTTCAGCCATTCTCCAGAACACCAGGTACCAAGCACTGGAGGTTTGGCATGTCCCTTTGTGGGACAGGGCTGAGAAACACCAGCCTGCGGCTGGAAAGAAGCCCACAGAAACCTCGGGGAGTCTATAGGCTCATCTACGGGCCAGGCTGAGGTGGGAAATCCATACATGGTTAACTCAGAATTATCTATGTGTGGATGCAGCTTTTCTGCATAATTTTTAGTTTGAATTTTTCCTTTTTTAAAATCTTTAAAAAGGTACAGTTAAACTCTAAATGATCATTCCAAACCTAGATGGACATCAGAATCATCCGTGTAGCTTTTAAACAAAGCAGATGTCAGGGCCTTCTCTCCCAGATAGAATGATTCAGAACCTGAAAATTAAAAAAAAAAAAAAATTACCAGCCCCCCAGGGGAATTTGATTCACCGCCACCACAGTTCCACAGATGTCAGGGCCTTCTCTCCCAGATAGAATGATTCAGAACCTGAAAATTTAAAAAAAAAAAAAAATTACCAGCCCCCCAGGGGAATTTGATTCACCGCCACCACAGTTCCCAGTCTAAATAAGTGCTTCCCTAACTCTAATATACGTGGGAGTCTCCTGGGGATTGTGTTAAAAAGCAGCCTGTGATGCAGCAGGTCTGGGCTGGGGTCTGAGATTCTGCATTTCTAACAAGTTCTCAGGTGAGGCCGATGCTACTGGTCCAGGGACTACCTTCGAGTAGCAGGGCTCTGAATCTTTTTCAAAGATGTCTGTGACCCTCCACCAAGAATTCACTGAGCATCCGCCACATGTCGTGCACTCACTGGGCACTTGGGAGGACTCGGTGTGATAGGCCAGGAAAGCCTCCAGTTCAGTGGCACAGGGTTCTGGAGCACGCACCGGAAGCTGCGTCAAACACTGGAGCGTGTGTTGAAGGTGTGGAACGAGGGCATCATGAATGCAATTATTCTTCAGATCCTTGAAGAGCTAAGTCATTCCGCCTTGGCAACCAGCAATCAGAGGTGTCAGGTGACAGATGAAAACTTGACACCTAATTTGATCTGAGGGGAACTGAAAATAATAAGTACTTTATTTCTGTGGAGCACCTTGTTTTTCTAAAGAGCTCCAAGCGCTTTACAACTCCCTCGCCTGGAGAAGGGAGGGCTGAGGGGGAGCTTTCACAACAGGCCTCCGGTTCTGAAGCCTCATTATTAAGTGAGTGGTGGCCAGCTGCTCGCAGAACCCCTTCCTCCCTCAACCTGCAAAAGCAGCACACAAAGAAAAGGCCTAACTTGCCACACTTGGGCAAGATGTGTGCTTGGAAGAGGTTGCGTGGGGCGGAAACAGACGTTCGGGGGAGGTGTGGAGTTCCCTGAAAAGGAGGTTCTTAGCATCCCAGCTCAGCCACTTCCTGGCCAGGAGTTATTCCGTGAGGGAGTGACCAAAAGCCCTAAAAGGCTCCTCCTGGCCCCCGAATTCTACAGTGTAGAGTTTTTGACTCTCAGATGGGCCACCATGGAACAGGAGCCTGTGTGGGTGAGCGAGCTCTGGAGGGTCCATCCAGCGCAGAAGAACTAAAATCCTTTGGTTCAAGAGAACACGTGCCCCACTTGATGAGGTGGGAAGGTTCTTCCCTCACAACTGTTTTCCTCCATCGTTCTATCTAGTCCTCTCCCCACCTGGGCAGCATTACCTTGCCTGCAGGCCTCCTGCAGAAGAGGCCCAAGCCGGACCCAGACATACCCTGTGCCAATTCTCCTGTGCTCCTTGTAGGACTTCAAAGTAGGTGGTCGCTCCCGCGAGCTCAGCATGCCCAGCCCACTCCCACCCCTTTCTCATCTCCACTGGGTAGAGCTGGTTTAGCCATTCCAATCTGGAGAAGAAACTGGTCAGCCCTAAGGGCTCCATGTTCATACCATGGGGTTCTGCCCTCACAACTGTTCTCCTCCATCGTTCTATCTAGTCCTCTCGCCACCTGGGCAGCATTACCTTGCCTGCAGGCCTCCTGCAGAAGAGGCCCAAGCCGGACCCAGACACACCCTGTGCCAATTCTCCTGTGCTCCTTGTAGGACTTCAAAGCAGGTGGTCGCTCCCGCGAGCTCAGCATGCCCAGCCCACTCCCACCCCTTTCTCATCTCCACTGGGTAGAGCTGATTTAGCCATTCCAATCTGGAGAAGAAACTGGTCAGCCCTAAGGGCTCCATGTTCATACCATGGGCAAATCGGACATCTGAAGACTTTGGGGCCTGTATCAGGGAGAGAAAACAGAATTTGGTAAAAGCCTATATGGGCTGGTATTTCCCCCAAATCCAGATGGTTGGTCCCCAGTGTTTGCAGGCCTGGGCTGCCAAACCTCTTGTTTAGATCTTGCTGTCACTCTGACAGTGCTCTATTGTTAGGCCTACGAGCCGAGCAAGTGGAATGGGGCTGGAGTGGCTAAGCCTAATAGACCGGTGCCTCTGAGCTGGAAATAAAACTTGGAGATTAACCTAATGCAACCTCTTGTTTTATAGGCGAGAAAGAGTAAGATCCAAAGAGAGGAGGTGACTTGTCCAAAGACACCCACAGCTTGTCAGTAGCACAGCCGGGACTAGAATCCAGAGCTTTGCCACTGCACCGTGCTCTACTGTCACGTGCCTGTGGCTGAAATCTGCTGCTGAAGAATAGGTGTTAATTTCTTTCCCAGTCCCTCTTGCTTCAGTCTCAGAGCGGAACATTCTTCAGCTCGAGGGGGCCCAGCCCACTTCCCTCTCCCTTCCTGGGCTGCAGCTAGATCTCATTCTGTGATCTTTGTCATTGGTGACAATGTGCAGCACAGAGCAAAAAATAGCAGTTTGATTTTTTTTCCCACATTCCAAGTTGAGCTTGGAGTGCTGGCAGTTTAGAACGAACTACACAAATAAATCTTGTTTTGACTCATAGTCCGGGGGGGAGGTGGATAAATATGGAAACCCCCAAGATATAATTTTGCAGTCATTTTTTTTCTTAGCATAACTGCATACTTTAATGTGCTGAGAAATTTTTTGTTCTGGCTCGAGAGAAATAGCAGCACTATCCCAGCTAAGTGCTTTTTCATGCCTCCCAGCAAATAGATATTAAAACACACACACACTACAACCAACCAAACCCAACAGCTGCACATTCTGAGCTGAATGCCAATCCTCTGCTCCAAGTTGACAGCTCTTGTTATTTAAAGTTAGAGATAGGTAATCTTTTGAATTTCAACAAGTGTGTCTTCCAACAAGCTCAAGTTCAGAAAAAGGCAGCTAAAATGATCGAAGTGTGTAGAAAGGGTTCACTGTTAGAGGGTCAGAGACAGAAACTGGATCTAAAAGCCTATTTTAGAGATCAGAGAATAGAGACTCAGAGAAGACTCACTCGGGTGAGTCACACAGAAATGGTGACAGAGTCAGGGCAGAGCCCAGGTGTCCTAAAGAGAGATTGTATGCCTCTTCACTCTGACCAGTCACGCCTGTGGGAATCTTGCCAACGTCTATAATAATATCAACAACAGAAGTTGAGTCTCTAATAATATCAACAACAACCTGAGACTTATTCACCAAAGGCCCAGAGGCTAGGAGTGCACTTTGGACTTTTAAAAGGAAGTGTTGCTTCACCTAGTGGGTAATTATGAGCAATTGTGCCAAGCAGTATACAGGCTGAAAACCTGGTTAAGTAGGAGAAAGGTATAAAGGTTAGGCCGATAGTTCAAGTCAGATTGGACCATGAGACACCCACGCCCTGTGTCAGAGGCCGACCTTGGGCCGGGTGACAATGACTGACGGCCTGTGATAGTTAGCACACTCTCTGCCCTTACGTGTCTCCTCGTTTTTCTGTCATATCTTTGGAGATGGGCCTCATTCTGCTTTAACAGTGGCAGGCCAGGGAAGGGAAGTGAGTTGTCCAGCGTGGTTGTGTAAGAGAGAACGAGGCAAGACAGAAACCACAGCTCCAGCTGGGTGCTGGGCCTCTTTCCTGCTCCTTATAAGCTCTTTTATTCTTCTATCCAGGAACTGCTTTAAGAAAGAAAGAAGGTTGCCCTCTCTCTCCCCAGGAGGCAGCTGCATGTGGTGCACAGGGCCCAGGGGTGGGGCTCGTGATCCATGCCCACTTCAGCCTGTCTGGAAATTCAGTGTCCTCCTTGCAAGTGAGGGACTGAAGCCGCCCATTCCCAGTAATAACAGAAGCCAGGGCAGAATTCTACCCCAGACTTCAAGTCTGATGCTCATATTTTCAGAAACTTTCCATGTCAAGAAATCTCACAAGCCTTAGTCATTCCTCACACATAAATCTACAAATATATCTCTCTCGTGTGCTCTAAACAGCAAGCCTTTTGGCCCATTTTCCTTCTACTTCCTCTTTTCTTCCTTTTCTGTGAAAAACTCTTCATGCAAGTCTTCTGTCGCAAAGCACTGTCAGAGAATTGGGAGTATTCCCACCAACGAACACCTTGGCTAACAGGCAGCCACAGAATTCGATAGATGCAGTAGGTGGGTTTCCCACTCTCAAATAATTGGAATATGGTGTGATCCACTTAGCACATCAACTACAGTGCACATAGTGTACTTTTTTTTTTTTTTTTACTGACCGGTAACGGGATCGCAACCCTCGGTGTTGCGCCCACACCGCGCTCAACCAGTGAGTGGGAACCGGTCTCCACATGGGATCCGAACCCTCAGTGGGAGCGCCGCCGCACCCCCAAGCGGTGCACTCTCCAGTGCGCCACCGGGCCAGCCCATGTAGTTGGTTTTGATGGGTCAGAAGACACTGTAAGATCTTGTACTTTTGAGTCATCATTACAAGCATTAATTATCATCTTACCAATGGATAGCATGTCTAGAGAGTTTTAGTTAGTAAGACACGAAGTAGCAGAGAATTCACTGGAAATAAGAATTTAGAGAAAAAAGTTAGAGAACTGTAGACCCATATACAATGAATGTTCTTTTGGACTCTCTGAGCCCTAATGTTCTCGTTTAATAAATGAGAATGTTTTCCACTACTGAACCTCAATAAAGATGAATGCGCAGATTAAGGAAATATTGAGGCTTAATTTAAATTGTAATTGCATTTAAACTTAAAACAGGTGTATTTATCAGATGGACTTTGGACATTTATTTGAAATGGTGAGGTAAAGTATTTGCAGAATTGGCAAAACTAAACTGCTTATTAGCTTCCGTTATCCCACGGCCCCCTCTATTTAGTAAGGCATTTAGCTACAATGAATAACTATTGTTACCAAATTATGATTAAAAGCCCCTAATTAAATATTGCACAAAGTAAAAATAACAACCTGCTCACATGGGAACATCACCATATTTACTCAGTGAACAGCTGCCCCTTTGTGCACCCTCAGGAGAGGCTCATATAGTGCCTCCTCCACAAGAACAGGGACAGAGACCCCAGGTGCAGGCCCTGGCTGATACGCACAGCCATTGAAGGAGTAAATAGGGTCGACATGCTGGATAAACCTGTTACTTCTGACCCAAGAAGTGCGGCTGCTGTGGCCACATAGTTCTTCCTCGTGCAGGACTTTCTTCAGAGTCAAAGCACCCACCAACAGGGATCGGTAGCACCCACCCCCAGTTAGACACACAGCAGTCATTTATGGAGCACAATGGGCCCAGTATCACAAACCAGATTTGGATCCAAGCTTCAGGGAGCTTATGTGCCAATGTGAGGCCTCTGGAGATGCCACTTCTAATCAAAGCGGCCTCCAGAACACCTTGAAACCATGCCGCATTAATCCCCTTGGTTTATTAGAATAAGTCTGGTCCGTAAGGAGTGCCCTCAGGGTGCTAAGAAGTTCACCAGTGTCAACTGTCCCTCATCCTCCCTAGCACACTGGGGGGCCTGCATGTTCCAGCCAAGCTCCAGGGAGAGTAGTGAAAGGGGAGCAGTCATTGCACAGCTGGGGACTGAGAGGCACCCAGAAGCAGGCCTCGGGCATCTTGCAGAATCATGGTAAACTGAGGCTCTCAGAGAAGGTGGCTGTCCCGCTCAGCTTTTGGAATGACTCTATTATCACATGGCCTGTTGTGATAGCAGAGGATTCTCAAATTTGACTGTATCTTTCCAGCCAGCATTTTAAGCCTGTGCTTCTGGGTTCTCCTTACGGATGCTTCTCTCAGTTGGGGGATTATCTGTTCTGCAGAATGCATGGCCTGTTGTGATAGCAGAGGATTCTCAAATTTGACTGTATCTTTCCAGCCAGCATTTTAAGCCTGCGCTTCTGGGTTCTCCTTACGGATGCTTCTCTCAGTTGGGGGATTATCTGTTCTGCAGAATGCTGTGGGAGACCAAGTTCCTGTTCTTCTGCTGGGCAATAAACTTGACAACGAGAAGGAGCGGGAAGTCCCCCGGGGCCTTGGAGAGCGGCTTGCTAAGGTAAAGAGCAAGCATTTCCATCTGCCTGGACAGAGAGGGCCCCCCCCGCAGGGTAGTCGGGCACATGCCCAAGAGCCTTGGTGGGAAACCTCTCTGGAAGCCCCGTGGGAAAGAAGCGACTGGGCAGGATGGGTGTCTTGGCGTCCTGGGAACAGCCCAGCTGCTGTGCATGTGGAACTTTCCATAGAAAGCCACAGTTTGCAAGACGGAGCTGGCTAGGGACCGCTAGGGTATGGGGAATTATCCTAAATGCTCTTCCTTGGAACTCAGAATTATCAGCTTATTTCAGTCCCCCTCTGATTCTTGAGTCCCATCATCTGTGTTTCCACTGATCACTTGGGGATGAGAACTCACTATCCTTAAGGCAACATGTTCTTGGTTGGACTGCTCTGTTAGAGAGTTTATCCTTCCTATCAAAACTGAGCCTCCAAGCTGTGAACTCAAGATCAACTCAGGAGAAGCACTGGGAAACCTACCATTAAGATAAGCCCCAGCCCTCTTGCCCAAGAATGGAGTTAGTGGGACTTAATGGAAATCAGGAAATGAAACAAAGGTCCCTGGGCTTCATTTAGCACTGCAGAGGTTGGTTTTCCTGCAACTGTGTACCTGGGAGGATGGGGGTGCTTGCCCGCCCTATGATTTTATAATGCTTATTTGTTCCAAACAGGGGCTCATGAGCTTAGAGCCTGTAAAAATGAGCACAGATGGTAAGATTCAAGGAAAAGGGAGGGGGCAGGGCCCGGCAGGTGTCTGTGTGAAGGGTCATTAGACAGTTACTTGTGCATGATTCTGAAATTCAAACAGCTCTGAAAACAGAAGAGTTTTGTTTTGTTTTGTTTTCATTTCATCTGGCAGAAGAATCTGACCAGAACTGACATGAGGCTATTTATGGTTTTTACTTCACTTTGAGTGACTATTTGAATATCTCACTGAAGAAATATTAATATGTTTGATAATTGGGTGCTGTACCAGACTATCTGAGAGTATTATAGAATATATAGTATATACATGTATTACCTTTCTAAAATTCAAAAAAATTCTGGATTCCAAAATACATCTGGATCCAAAGATTTTGGATAAGGGACTCCAGACCCATGTTCTTATTATCCCAGTTTCTTTTCTTTTTCTCTTTTCAGTCAGTGAGAAAACACTGAGACTCAGGAGCTGAGTGGCACATTCTCGTGACCACGCAGTTGGCAGGTGGGGGGTCAACACCAGGAGCCGGAGGACAGACCGTGTCTCCCACGTCTAGGTCCTGTGCCCCTCTGCTCTTCGACAGACTGGCCCAGAGGCAAAGCGTGGGCAGAGGGAGATGCAGCCGAGGGTGGGCTGCAGGTGTGGACCTGGAAGGCTGAATCAGAGGCAGCATCTGACCAGCCCCAGATGTGTCCTCACGCAGCTAGCCCGTCTCCCTGCAGGCATCAGCCTCCAGGGGAAGGCCATCACAAAGCCAGGGCCGATGCCACTAGCGCCGTTGTCCTGAAGCTGGCAATCTGTTCATGGGAGGGATAGATGGGATACAAAGAGCCCTGGCCGAGGGCCCTGCCAGGCACGCAGCACAGCCCTGTCCTTGTGAGGTCAGGGACACTCACCCTGTGCACCCAAGCTGACAGCCTGGGAAGCTGTAGGTGTAGCTAACTGATGGAAAAGAATTCCTGCTGGAGTGCCACAGAGCATGTGCCCCAGGGTCTGCGGATGCTGCTAGAACTGCCATCGACTAAGTGCGTGAACTGACAGGCCAGCCGCGTGCCCTCGCTGACCTCGGTTTCCCTGCCCATAAAGTGAGAAGAGTCTTGCCTGCTCTGGCCTTTGTGCTTTGTCCGCATCCCAGGGCCGGTGTGAACCTGGAATCGAAGCGATCTGAGACAGTGTGCAGCGCTAAGCTAGCACATGGTCTTGTTGTTCCACAGTTGTCACTGCCCCCCTGGGAGACGGCCACAGAACTGCGTCGGTCAGGGGGCCTGTGGAGACAGAACTCAGCCATGCACTGAGTGAGGAAGGGTGGAGGAGCTGAAGGGTGCTGTCCCCCCCGCGCCCAACAGTCCCTGCGACTGCCCCGGCACTCGTTTGGTATCCTCTCTGTTTGATGATTCTAGGAGAACAATCTGATCTTCTATGAATGCAGTGCCCATTCTGGCCACAACACCAAAGAGTCCCTGCTCCATCTCGCCAGGTAAGGAGATACACCCTCAGGTACCAGCCTGGTGGGGGACGCTGCGTCCCCCCGTCCAGCCCCACCTCTGGGCCTTCCCTCCCTGTCTGCAGAGCACTAGAGTACAGGGTGGTGGCCCAGGCCTCTGTGTGGGACGTCGGCGCCCAGGAGCAGCCTTCTGAAACACAGTGATGATGAGAAAGAAAGCATCCCTGCCTGTCACCCTCACTGCAGTCTTTGTCTGAGTCTTAAAGGCTGACTTTTCCCAGGGATCCTCTTTTTAAATGCAAATGCTCCCAGGAAAGGTCATGCAGTGGTCCCTTAGCACCGGCTTATATTTTAGCAGGGACTAGTTGGCAGCCAGCTGGGAACAAGAATGTTATAATGGGCTATAATATGGGTTCCCGGGGTGGGAGGTGGGGGTGGGATTCCTGCCACTCACCGGTTGTTGTGAGAATCAAAGGAGATGCTTAAGGTAAAATCGCTTGGCAAGTATAAAGCAGAGATAAGATACTTACCGTTATTTTTAATCCCTCACCTCCCACATCTAATCTGGAGCTGTGGGCACATGGAGCAGCCCTTCTGCAGAGTTAACAACCAGTGAACACATTTTTGAACCTCTACTATGTACCAGTTACCGTGACAGGCTGTAGAGACGCAGACGAAGTGTAATCTGTGCCCTCAAACCGCTCGTTCTCTGGAGAGGGAGGTAGCCAAGGGAGCAGTATGTTGTGATGCTGGGTGGTAGGGTCCGAGTGCACTTAGATCAGGGGAGGCTTCCTGGAGGAGGCGTCCTGAAGGATCTACGTGGACGAAACCCTCTGGCTTTACAATCATAGTCATGCACCTGTATTGCCCAGGGGGACTTTAAATATTCTCTGATGCTCTGGTGAGGCTGGGTTCTCTCTGATGTTACCAACCTTAGAGTGGCTGGTCCACGCTGCCAGCTTCCAGGCCTAGCAGCTTCTCCACTACTGACGCTGTCCCTTCTGCCTCCCAGGTTGCTCAAGGAGCAAGAAGACACAGCAAGGAAGGACACCATTCAGGTTGGCCGCGCTGCCAAGAAGAAATCCTGCTGTGGCTGACAGGAGGCCTCCCAGGCCCGCTGCCACCCAAGCCTAAGGTCACAGGGTCTACCTGATCCTGCACGTGGGCTCCTGTGTGGAGCCCACCCGGACCTTTGTCTCTGTCAGTGACTTGCCTCCCCACAAAGGAAGGAAGCCCGTGAGGTCAGGGGAGCAGCCTTCGAAGCACCTTAGGGTCTTTTCTCTCCTTTGTCTCTCCAGGCCCCAGACGCCCATTCCTTTTTTTATTTTTCCGCCAGCTTGGTTTCCTGGGGGAAAGAAACAGATGGGCTTTTCCAGAAAAGCCACCACGTGCCTTCTCCACCTCCCTTCTCCTCCCCTTGCCCTTGGGAGCCTCAGCACTGTGGTTGCCATGGAAACCATGCAGGGCCGACTTGCAGCTTCCTGTAGGCCAAGGACACACCGCTGGGGCGATGCCAGGGCAGTTTGTCTTGCTTTGGCTCCGGGGGTACTCTTGGTCCATGCTTCATGGATCTTGAGTTACTCAGAGCCGTTCCCCAGGCCCCAGCCCCACAGCCCAGGCTCTCGGCAGCCACTGCAGATGCCCCGCAGGTTCCAAGACCCACAACCTTTCCTCCCCATCCCCCACCCCCAGCCCTGGCTTCAGGGTGGCCTGGGCGTGATCCATTTATGCCTGGGGTTAGGGACTTACTTGCTACTTAACTTTGACTATGAAAAAGCAAACTGGGGGGGGAAAGCCATCTGCTGCTAAACAGAGCGACCATTTCTGGAGGGTATAAATGAGATATATATAGCTACATAAAAGCCGTTTCTAAATGTTTCTCAAAATAGCTCTTCAAAAAATTGTACATGATGATTAATGGGGTGGATTGACACGCAGACAGTGAGGCCCAACGCTAGGTCCATAGTTACCGACTTCATTTTACTTTATTCCAAAAGACCGTATTTTTAAAAATGCGTGGCTGTGGTGCTGACATTTTGCTGGTGTTTGAGACGTGAGCAGGGTATAGCTACTGGCTTCAGTACCCCAGGGCTGCAACAGTGCAGCACGTGGACTGAGGGGTTGACCCCGCCCCATGGGATTCCTTCAACTGGGTGCAGGCGAGACCCGGCCAGCTCCACATCACTGGCTGGCTGCCAGGTGTGCTTGCCCTGGGTGCGAAGCTGCATAAAAACATCACAAAGACCACTGCCTTTACGACTCCAGGGCTGCGGATCCTGGCCCCCAGGGAAAGTGGACACCCAAGAAGGGCACACACAGAGGGAGGGGGCAGAAAGTGTCCACAGGCTTCCAAAACGATAGTTGAAAAGGCCCCCACACAGCCAAACAGACAGGGAGAAGCCACTGCCAGGGTTCCCAAGGATGTCCCTACAGCCTTCTCCCAGACCCCCAAACAATCAGAGCCCCCAAAGATCACCAGGCAAACACTCCCCTCCTTTTTGCAGACTTCTCTGTCTCTCATCCAGCACTCGCAGGGACCAGGGAGCCCGTGGAGAGTGCTAAGTGCAAGCAAGCACTGAACGCTGGGAGGTGCAGAGCCAGGCCCACCTCATCCGTAAGGCGAGGGGATGGGCTAGTTCATGCTTCAGCTCCTGCTCAGATGCTCACTGTCCATCGTAGGTTGGCCGTGGGCCCTAGTCCGAGGCTGAAGAGAACTCGCAGGAAACTGCTTTCCCTAAGGGCAGGACAGTGGTGGTGGCCTCATTAGTGCAATGTGGCAGAGAGCGGGAGTGTGTGGGTCACCCAGAGGTGGCCCTCTGATGTCTGTGTGTGTGCTGTGTGTGTGAAGGTCAGGGTGCAGGTGGGGATGGCCATGGAGAGAGTAAAGCAGCTCTCCTGCTTCTGGCGATAGACAGATGGCCACTGAGATTTGGGGGCAGGCAGCTGATCCTGGGGTTCCCTCGGCCACAGATGCCTTGTCCCAGGCTTCGGGCTGCATTTTTCCATTTAGAAGAAGTGGCATCCAGGGTTCAGAGCAGGGTGCGATGACGCTAGTGCCTGGTCCTCCGGCATGTGGGGTAAATCCTCATGATACTTCAGAGGTCCAGGCAGGGAGGGAAGGAGGGTCTTCAGGCCTCCGCTGCACTCTTCTCCAGCCCCACCTTATAAAAGAGGGAGGGGTGGGGACTTCACAGGGACCATGAGAAGGTCCTTGTTCCCAGGTCTCAGCCTCCTTCCTCCTGTTCCTTTCAGCCATCATGTTGATTGGAGCCACCCCGTGGCTGTCACCCTGGCTCAGAGGCTGGCAGTTGGCTGTCAGAAGAACTTTCTGGCACTGTCCCATTTCCAATGCTGAAATGATCTTCAGCGAGTCACTTCCCAGGCTCCACATTCATCTGTAGGTGGGAGGCTTTGGTGTCTCCTTCACAGGGACATTTTAAGTATTGAACAAGGTAATGTATGTAGAGTACTTGGCACAGTGCCCACGACATAACAGATAGTCATAAGTAGGGGCTACATTAGTTGTCAACATTGAATCTCCACCCGGACCTCTGGCCTTGCTTCAGCTTTAGATTTAGAACCAGCCAACCTTTACCAAGTATCTACCCAGAACCGGGCATGTGCACTTGCAGTACGGCTGCTCCGGCTCCTGTTTCGTTGCTGTTTTCATGGTATATATAAAGTGTCCTTTTACTTTCAACCTGTTTGTGCCTTTGAACCTAAACTGTCTTTTGTAGACCAAATATAGTTGGATCATGGCTTTTTAAAAATCTATTCTTCCTCTCTGTCTTCTAATTGGAAAGTTTAATTTGTTTACATTTAATGTCCTTGATAAAGCAGGATTTACGCCTGCCCTTTACTACTTCTTTTCTATACATCGTATATCTTTTTTATCCCCGTTCTTCAATTTGCTTTCTTTCCTGTAAGATATCTTCTACTGCACTATTTTAATTCTCTTATTTCATTTACTGTATATTTTTCACTTATTTTCTTGGTGGTTGCCCTGGGAATTACTATTAATATTTCAATTTATAATGATCTGTTTGAATTAATACCAACTTAATTTCAGTAGTATACAAAAGCAATGCTCCTGTATAGTTCTCCCCTCTGTTATGTTGTTATTGTCAGAAATTACATTTTTAGGGGCCGAGCCCATGGCGCACTCGGGAGAGTGTGGCGCTGGGAGCGCAGCAGCGCTCCTGCCGTGGGTTCGGATCCTATATAGGGATGACCGGTGCACTCACTGGCTGAGCGCGGTGCGGCCGGTCTCAAAAAGGACAAAAAAAAAAAAAAGAAATTACATTTTTATACATTTTGTGCCCATTAACATAGATTTATAATTATTGTTTTATGCAGTTG